CTTTTAGGAAACAACCTGTCCTCTACCTGGACACAGGAACTATCTACAGAGTAGAGAAATCATCTGTCTGAAGGACATATTCTGAGGGTGAAATCACTGACTTAGTGATGATCAGTAAATATGCAAAGGGCCTTCCAGAATTTTGTGGAACTCAGGTAAAGAACTAACAGGTAACTCAGATCTGCAGCACTGCCTCTGGAACAAAAGCCCTAGAGCAAAGCAGGACAACTTGTCATCTTTTGCCCTTCTATGGGAGGATAAGGATGATGGGTAAATTTTTTCCCATAATTTCTGTTTTAAGAAAAAGAAATTTAACATGCGAGTTTAAATTGCATTGTCCACAGAAACTGACAGCTGGAAACGAGACACAGAATTCCATTTTCAGCAATAAAGCTAGAAGCAAAAGCTGCCCTAGCTAGGCTGCCTGCAGAAGGTCACAGTAGCAAGAGATGGGTCAGGAAATCAAGAATGAAAACAAGTTCCTCCATCCCTGATGCACAGAAGAGAAGGAGGACAGCAGTTTAATGAAACCAGAAACAAAACAATTCTTGTGGAAGTCTCACAGGCTTTTCATGGCAATCTGTAGTCTGAAATAGACATAAAAGTATTCACAACTCCTCAAATACTGAGTATTGATAATGATTAATTAAGGGGACTTGGGGTGTTTAGGGTGTGCAAGTGCCTCTTAATTGTACTGAAGGGAGATGGATCCAGAGAAGAAAGTAGTAATTTCTCTCCCCATAAAAAATAGAAATAAATGCAGAGACCCAAATTTTCTGAAGAGAGGTGCACACAGATTGAGCAGCCACCTCAAATGTCCAAATACTCTGCGCTAAGTAACTTCTAGGAAAATTTTCTTTTTCTACTTATGACCTTTAAAAGGAAAAATCTGGACAAAACCAATGACAGCATTGTCTTTGGTACACTCTACAACCCTCTGTCACAGAGCTCAGCACTGAACTGTGCCAACAGGGCAGAGGGGATGTGGGCCCAGCTCATTTCAGTCTCTGGAGCAAGGAGTATCTCTGGTTTGTTACCCTGTGCATTACCTGGAATTCTGGGAGACACAAACACAAACCAGACGCTTTTGCCTATACAAGAAGTGATCTTTCAAAGAGCTGGGGAGTAGAACTAATCAAACCCGACCTGAAAAATAATCAAGATCTTAATACAGCTACATGTGAGAAACAGTGTACTCTTTCTTTGCACCAGCACCACATGGAAAAACTTCCAATGCCAGGAGCATGAAATAACAGGAGCACAGGAATTTCTGGTGAGTAAAAATATTTTAACTGCTATGTACAGAAATCATCTTGTAAGGCACCACCCCTTCAAACCCAGAGATGGGGATAAAGGGCCAGGCCTGAGGAGGAGAGGATGGCCATTTGTGGCCAAAAGAAGAAGGGGTACTGCTAAAAATCCAGGCTTTTTTTCCCCTTTTGGACTCAGTTTTCAGCTTGGAAAGAATTGGAAAGAGATGCATGTTGGAACTTGCTTCTCTCAGCAGAAGGTCTCAAAATGTGGAAAAACGAGCTCTTAACTAGAGAGGTGAAGAAATTTCCTCAGGACATCATGAAGAAACACAAACCATTGTACACTGAAGAGTGAATTTTGCCTCAGACCATCCATGTACATGATTTCTCACAAGACTTCAAAGCGTGCAGAAGTTTTTCTCCAGGAAAAAGTAAAATAAGAGGTACCTGGAAAATAATCATGAGGATTTTTCTACTTCAAATGAAGCTACTCCTACTGAAAAACCTGCAGTATTAACAGGTTGGGTGAGCAAGCAACAGTATTCTTCCCTGAGTCACCTGAAACAATTTCCAATTCTACATCATATATGTCAAAACTTCCATGCCAGGACTTATATCCATGATCCAGCACATGCACATTTATGACATGCATCTTTTCAAGCCTCAGAAATGATAAAAATGTACCTAATCAGTTCAGAACTTTGTTCACTAAGAAGGAAACATATACAGTGGAAAATCTTGACAGAAAATAAACATAAAATCCATTTTAAATATGCGGGAGCTGCAAATACTTAAACTGAGGATGAGCATGGAAAATGTTCTTTATAAAGCCAGAATTTGGTTTTGCTTTTCTATTTAGTGGATTTTTAGTAAGATGAGCATTGTAGTGCTGCAAGCAACAACGCACTGTCTGAGGGGGGAGAAAAATCAAACAGCAGTAATCTTACAGTTGCAGTTCAGACAATGTAAAACTTGTAACTTGAAGAAACTCAGTCTTCTGTGTATTCATTTCATGAGTCAACCTGTGTGTTCCTGTCTGACTCGCAGCTATGTCAAGTGAGGCAGCAATATTTCCAAATCATTAAATCATCTGCAAATGCTTTCCTCCTCCATCAAGCATTCCTAAGCCTTTCTCTCTCCACAAAAGCAAAGACAAGATTATTTCCTCTCCAAACACAGCCCACTCAGCTACAGCTGCCATGTCTGCAGCAGCCAGACCACGCACCCCTTCAGCAGGAACAGTTTTTCTTAGGTCAAGTGGAACACATGCCTAATAAAAAATTCTGAATTGCTCGTATGAATTAATAAACAAGCCTTCTGTGCTGTTTTGTACGTACAATAACAGTTTTCAGATACAACAGCACAGATACAAATGCTCTACTACTTGACCTGCAATGTAGCAGCAGAATTTTGATTTACTAGCCTTGTCAGCCTTGGCAGGAGGAAGAATCCAGCAGCAGCTTCTGGTGGTTCCCACTGATGATGGGATTTTGACCTCTCCACAGGCAATGGAAAAACACTGTGTGGATGGGGATTTCACTTAAAACATGTTCATCTCCCTCTGCTGTGAGATCTGCTTGATCATATCCTAATACCATTTTCTTGTTCTTTGACATGAGCTTACAATGCTACCTTAAAATACCAGACGCAAAAACCACGATGAAGATTGTCCTAAGCAAAAACTAAGTGATAACAAGGAGCGTAGTGAGTCTTGTGTGGGATTCAATGAATTTATCCCAACTGTGACAAAAACAATGCAAAGCTTTTCCTGCCACCTTAAAATATTAAGAGAACAGGTTTTACAAACACCAGGCAAATTAATTTCTGAAATAAATCAAATTGTTCCTAAAATAAGTGTTCATCCTGTCTAGATGTGCAAATAGAATCATACCATGATTTTATCTTTTCTTCATCAAGCATGACTTTATACAGTAAGTTAAATATTCAATCACAGAATTGTAGGACACACCAAACTCGCATTTTCTCACTTTTCTTGAATTCTGACAATACACATCATAAATGAGCAATAAGGTCATGTAATATTCCAAGGCCTGTAGAAATTAGAAATGCTAATGGAACATGCTAAAGGAGGTTTCTAACTACTTTGATTAACCTACTCAAATTCTTAGTATACCTCTAAATTTAGACTCAATAGTGAACTTACTGATCAGTTACACTCTCCTGAGCTTAAAGGTTTGTGGACTCCTTTTAGACTCCAAATACTTTTTCACTGAAAATTTCCTCTGGCTCATCATTCTGTTTCACAATTCTGTTTCACAACAATATTTACATTTTTTGGATTTTTGGCTTTTGTTACATACACTTGACTTTGAGAACACAACGTCCCTCACTGAAGTCAACTGTTGTGCTTTGGATCTGCCCAGATTTAAATCTCTAATGTCATTCCTCATGCTCTTACACTATTCCTGTAAAACAACTGCTCCTTCAGTGCGGAATTAAACCTTCCTCTAATAACAAGGAACCAAAATACTAAGTGGGTAATATTAATAGCTAAGTCTTTCATTTTTCCAACAACTTTATATTTAAAACAGATTAGGACAAAATGACCACAGCTATTGTGCTTCCAAGAGATACTTCATTTTTAATTTGAGGAATGTGCCTTACTAAGTTGGCTGACCTTAACAACTCTGTGGGTACAAAATGTCCTTAAACTTTGTTCCTCTCTCTGATAATTATTTTTTTCATTAATTATGTTAGCATAGCCTGGACATGACTGTGCAACCTTGCCCAAGCTCCTTAACCAGTCACCCTCACAATTTAACCACCACTACAAAGAGACATTGGTGAAAGATGCTGGACATCTCTGACCGTGCTGATGGTGCATTCAAAAGTCTAAGGTGTTGTTTACTGCAAACAAGGCAAGATCCCCATTAGCTCATGTGTTGTAGGATGCCTAGCCATTACCAGATTTTGACAACAGAAAATGGAAAATGGTCACTTTGCTGAATAATTTCTGTTGTTCCGAAACTGTGTCTAAAAGACACTGGGATAGGTCAGTCTAATTTCAGTTTTATCCTTAGAAATATTTTTTTGGCCATAACTAGACACTATTTGTGAGGCAGACCTGGAAAAGACTCTAGGAAAGAGGTTTCACAGGTGTAGTGTGAGAACTACTCTCACTCAAGACTCCCCTGTTGTGTTTTGAACAAAGTCTCAAAGGCAGCAAAACTGGCATGACACTTCTACCTTTTATTCCTCCTGTTGCCTTTGGCCAGCTGATTTTGCATTTAACTTATTCTATGTTGCTTGATTGTTTATTAGGGTGAAAAATCTCCAAGTTATTTCAGGATACAAAAACATGTACACCACCCCAGTTTCAGCGAGGGTGGTCCTGACAGAAGCCAGAGATTAGTTCCATCTACAGAAACGTCTTTTCTTCAGCACTGACAAAGCACAGATATTTGGGCAGGTCACATCCATGTTTCCGTCTGTCCTGTGCCTTTGTGACCAGCCTCATGTGTCCACAGTGTGGGGGACAGAAGGACACTCTTTATTCTGCATTAACACATGCAACAGCACCTTGATCTGAGACAGCTTCCAGGAATCACCCACATTGTGCTGGCAATTAAAGAAGTAGGAACTCCTAATTCTAAGGTATCCCTAGAAAAGTGAGAGTTTCATAATGAACAACACCTGTGTTTTTGAGCCAGTGCAGTGCAGAAATACTTCTCTATCACATTTATACATGCAATTAATAAAGCCATGATAAAGACACACAAAACTTACATAGTCATGAAAGGCTTTTGCTTCACTTGAGTGTTCATATGTTTCTCGTCTTTCTGGAGCTGCACAATAGAGATCCCAGAACACACTACAAGGGAAGAGGTTAGAGAAGATGGTGAGTGTCACTGTGATGCTCATGTGCATTTTATGCATGCACACACACCACATGGATGTTCCTACACAGAAATGTCACTTTCTCTCCAAAGAATAGGAACACTCACCTCCAAGGAAGAATTTAGATTTGTAAATCATCTGTGAGGAACCAAGTTCTGCCGTCTGATCTCTGAGGCAAGCAGCGCTGTACTCCTTTAACACCACTAAACTACAGACCAAGAATCTGGTCTAATATATATGAACCCAACATGTAATACTGTGCATTTAATGTTATCCCTCCAGCAACTGCTCAAACGATTTCCACAGAGCACAAAAAGGAATGAATTTGTAATAGTATGGAATGGAAAGAAACCGGAGAGAAAACCAGGAATCCTTCCATGGTCAGGCTCCTGGAATCACAGAACGATTTGGATTGGAAGGATATTAGAGCTCACCCACTATCCTAGGTTACTCCAAGCCCCATCCAACCTGGCCTTGGACACTTCCAGGGATGGGGCAGCCACAGCTTCTGTGGACAAATGTCCAGTCCTGTGCTTAAACCAAAGCTCCCTGAAGATCTGGTGCCTGGGCAAGCACAGAAAATTCATGGGCATGTTCTTAGGTCATAAAGAGTAAAAGGGAAAGTAGTATGGCACATAATCCCATTGGTCTTCCCCCACAAACTCATTAAACTATAGTTACATACCAATCAGTTCTACCACAAAGTTTCTGGAATGAAACTGTGTCTATGCTAGAATGACTTAATAACATAATAGATAATAAAATTTGTTGGAGTTTCATAGCAGTTTTTTACTGGTTTAGACTTAATCCTCTATAACTTAATCCAACACCATAGTAGGGATTTATGGACAGTTTGAGCACTCTGATGCAGACAATCAAAATTAAGGATAATGCAGATATTAGAGATAAAAGGGACACGTTCTTGACAGGCTTCCATCCTACAGCAAGAGCTGTGAAAGAATGGTCAAAGAAGTTGTACAAATCACTTGGGTTCATATGGGACCATTTCAAAACCTGTGAATTCTTGTACTACTGACAGCTGGGCATATTCCCTGCACTTCTGCATTTCGTCAAACACAGGCTTGTTGGATATACTAAAATAATGAATAAATACCATGGTTACACAGCAGTGCCTATGAGCACTCTTCTCTCCTGGGGAATTCTACACACACACACTGAGCAAGCTCACATTTACACAGAGTTTCTGTATTTACTGTGTTTTCTTTCCAAATGCAAGTATTTATGATATGTAGAATGACCCCTTAGCTGTAAAATGTGCTGGAAGTTGGTGAAGAAGGAAAGTCAGGCCACCTCCTTTCTTATCAACACACTATGCACTATTTCTTTTTTTCTGTATCCAATATCCAGTATCATTTTCTATTATTTCCTTTTCCATATCTAATTTTCCTGTATCTAATTTTCTGTTATTTTATTCCTTAACAAGAGAATGCTTCTTAATCCTGATCCTCTCATTCTTTTTATAGTGTTCACCTGAATTTTTTGCCTCCAGCAGCTGGAACTGGACATCAACATATTCTAAGAAAACCAGAGAAGAAAACTGGTACTTACCACCACCAGGAATGCAAGAATCCTGGGGGCTCCCCCAGTGTGATATTTTTTTCCCATCTTATCTAAAATAAAATGATAGAAACAGACGTGTACATTCTTGTGATCATTGTGACTAAAAAGCATTACAACATTTAGATAGAAAAAGGATGAGAAAGAGGAGATTTCACAGTTACGAGATGCTTTATGGTCATAAATTTGAATGCCCTGTTTACTTACTTTTCTACATTTATTGATATACCTGATACTTAAAATTAGCTCCTCTTATGCTAGGGATGCATAGTTTAGAATTTTATTCTTTGGTTTTTTAAAAGTTCTGAATATATTGTGTATTATTTTAAGGTCAAAAATGCATGATTAAGAATGTAATTATTAAGTACCCTTAAAACTGAAATCTTTTCCCATTTGCACAGGACGGATGCTGTGGATTCAGCAGGTGGCACTCTTACCCCCGCAGCCAGGGCCAGCAGTGTTTTATAATCCTCAAGGAGTGCCTCAGTCACAGGTAATGTGGCAAAGCAAGGCAGCACCACTGCCACAACCCGGCTCCCACCACGCAGGGTAATTGTACAGCTACTCTGCCTTGCTTTCCTGTGCTGGCAGGCTCTCCTCAACACCTGCACTGCCTGGGCCTTCCTCGCCACCAGGGAAACTGGGTCTGTTTGGTGCTCTTTTCAAAGGAAATGCAGTTTAAGAGCTCTCAGCTCCTGAATTCAAACTTTTGTTGTTTATTAGGGAACCAATCACCAATAACAGCAACAGCATCTGCCTCTGCAAAACTTCCCAAAATGTTGTACCTTAACTACACTCCCACAACCACCTTGTCAATGCCAGTTGGTAGTTTGACCTTAACACCAAAATTGAATCGTTTGGGCTTTAATAAAGCCCACACAAAACTGTCCAGAAAAATGTCTCATGTTAGAACTTGGTGGATCTTTGGTGCACACTTTGCATTGTGTGCACTGCAAGCTCCTCCAGTTACAATGACACATAGCATAATTTCCTGTCCAACTCTCTTTAAATAGTTGCTAAAAGCACAAACCATATTCTTCTCTAGACAGACAAAAAGAGGGTTATTTTGATTAAATGCTTAAACAGCCTTAATATAAAAGGAATTTTAAGTGATAGATCCATATACATATATGTAGAAGTACATTAAAGCATATAGTGATCATACTGTCAGGGGCCTTCCTAAAGCTGACATTTTTCAGAGAGATTTAAGATTCTCAACTAATACTTGATTTCCACATCCAATTCTTAGGAAATTTAAACTCATAAAAGTTTTGTCAGTAGCAGAATATGCCTAAAAATGTTGTTGGTACTTACATGAAAATCCATGTAGAAAATCTCAAAAATTAAGAAAGCTAATACAATTTTGATATATTTTATTAATACAACATTTTAAAATAATTATGCTATTTTAAATTGTCTGTAACAGGTAACATTGTGCCACTATTGCTGGTAAACTGGTAAAGCTGACAGAATGAAAACCCAACATCCCTCACACAGTAGTTAATACACAAAAAAACATATTTCACTAAGTTCCTGAAGTGCTTAAGTGCTTAAAGTTCCTTAAGTGCTGGCAGGAAAAAGTGATGAACATTTGAAAGTGAAAGCCACTACAAAGGTATTACACACTCTTCAAATACACTTCTCTGAGGCACAGCTGCTCCTCATGCACCCTGGGAATGTCTTGGAAAGACTTGTATTAATAATCAGGAACACACAGTACTTCTGAGAAGGTTCAAAATAACATAATGAAGAGATGCATTGTACAACCAGAACGAAAAAGTGGTTTCTGAAGCAGAAATATCATTTGCGTAGCAGTAAAAATTACATCTGTGAAGAACACCCACATTATGTTTAAGCAGTGATTGTTTTCTTCAAAGCAGGGCCTGGTGAGGAAATTACCCAGTTCAGGTCTTTTGTGGATCCTGGGACATATGTCATCTTGAGAAACTGATTGGGAGAAGGAGACTGAAGGGAACGTGGAAGTTAGGGACTTTTTTCAAGGCTTTTTATTTTGTTTTTTTTTCAAATATCCATACTTGTGTCTACTATAGCAGATGCGGTCTGTCTGACCAACGAGACTTATCAAGAATTATTATTTATGGAAAAAAAAATCTTCATTGTCAAGCGTACTGGTTAAGCTCATAGTCAGGGAATGATTAACTGGGAAATGCCCACCAACCTGGTCCAGCCAGGCTAATGGAATTATCCAAGGCTGGAATATGACTTCCAGGATAGAATATGCATGGGATAAAGATCAGCTCTTCAAGGGAAGCATACAAAAGTCAAACTAGACACAAGGCATGACAAAAACATGGGGATGGTCAGGACAACCATCCCTAAGTTAATAGAGTATTACAGTGGATTTGTGGATATCCAGCTTCTGTTTTCCCTTAATTTGGCTCCATTCCTCTGAGTCACAGTCCCTGGCATATCTGTGAGAGGGCTCTTAACCTTTAGACACTACTCTTAGCTGCCCTACAGCTCAGACAATCTATGTGTGCTCTTCTTTTAAGCCCCAACACTCAGCTTCAGAGCTACTCTCAACAGTTTAACTTTAAAATGAAACTCACCCAAACTGAGAGAGCACCCAGCACAGCAGTCACAGAACCATTCACAAGAACTGTCAGCACATTTACTCTCCTGCACTGCTAATTAGTGAAGGAAATGGACTCACAGCTAGTACCTCATACCCACACTACGCGCTACTGATTGTCCCTGAGCTGCCTTTACCATCACTTGATGAGTACAAGTCATAATTTTGAAGATTTGATATATCCTTAGGTTTCACTGTTCAGACCTGAGATCTTCTCTGTAACTCAAGATGGAATTAGTTTTAAAAGCTGAGTTTCAAGACACTGTATTTAATGTTTTCAGGAAATCCAGATGTCATACCAGCTATGCTTCTCCAACTGTTCATTTTGCAAATACATCATAAAAACAAAGTGCACAAAATTTACCTTGTGCAATGCATTATTTACAAATGACAGCTGTTTTGGAAAAGCCAAGATGATACTCTACATTATTTTCTCTCATTTTTCCAGTGTTTTACCACAGAGATAAAACAATTGTCAAAAACATGCTTTATTATAAATGTAAACTGATCATACTACAATTCTACCCTTTTCCTTATCTGTGCTTTGTCAGTTTTGTGTAAACATTGCAAACAATTCTCTGGATTTTCATTTGCCCCTCTTCCATCTCCAAAATGTCATCACCAGCATAATAATTTTATTAGCTTCTGGAGGAGGATCAGTTAAAGCAGCAATTTTCCTGGGACAATATCTTGCCTATTTTTTCCAAATTTCTGCTTACTACTCCTATTATTATTACTACTCCTACTACTACTACTACACTATTGTTGTTATTATTAGTTACTGTTATTGTTGTTATTATTACCTTATATGTTCTTGTCAAAGATTAAAAACACTAATAAACCCAGAAGACTTCAATGTGTTCAGCATACATTTGTATCCTAGGGCAAAAATAAAATGCTGAGGAGACATAATTTACTTCAACCTTCACCAGATGCATACAAAGTCTTTGAAAAGACTCTTTTAAAAAACCCCAAAACTACTGTGTAAAAGTAAAAATTCCATTAGAAGTAGAAAGTGTTTAAAAAAGCAGGACCTAAGTGGTTGTGGATATCATTGATTCAACAGATGAAAAGAAGTGAAGTGGTTAAAAGCATGGTGAGAGCACAGAGAGATCAGCAGTGCTCCAGAGAAGTAGAACTGATAGTGTATGACAGTGGGATGTAAAATACATTTAGAAGGACCCATCATTCACAATTGGAGATATCAATAGTAAGTTAAAAGGTCATCAAAACTGAGTACCATTGAAGTGTTCTCCAGCATGCCCACTTATTAGAGAAAATAGATTAATCTTTCCCAGTGTAGAATGGGGATTACAAACCACAGCAAAAATAGTTGCACAAAATCATGTAAAATGACAAGGCAAACTGGGCTCTGGAGGATGAGGAACAGCAGACTGAGGCAAACTGATACCCAAGGTTCTCACTGCTTTTATTCTAGACTAAATCACATTTATTTCACTTGCAGACCCTCAGAAGTCATGTTAAAAAACTCACCTCTGATAAAAATGTCTGGGCTGATTTCTGTGCTCCTACATGGAGCAGATATTCATATACGTACAGTGCTAATCTGAAAAATAAACAGAAAGGACAATATTTAGTATTATGCATTTGTTTGCTCCTCTTCTTCAAAAATAAAGGATTATCACAAGTTTGAGGTATGCTCCACTGACTTCCACAAACCACAATGTACTCAACATGCCAAATCTATTACCTCTACCAGAAATTTTCAACTAGACATGCAGGTCAATCTGACCAGAGGTGTTTAAATAGTTGCTAATTAAAACATTATTAAGCCCCCAAATTACTTAATGTCAACATTTTTAATATTTGGACAAGTGCCCAGTGAGCTAACAAGTGACCCAGTGCTGCTCTGAGTGAGCATGCTTACTGTAAATACAATATATTCACGCAGCATCACTGATTGCTTTTCCAGATCAACCTTTTTAGCATGTGGAATGTGTCAAGCTGTTAGCACACTTGAAAAATAGCCCTGTGGTTTTTCCAAAGAACATGGAAACTTCGGGCTGAGTCAGAAGAAGTGATGGCAGCCTCGACGCCCGGCATGGCTGAACAACCACAGCTCTGCCGCAAAGGGAAAACAGATCCTGAAATTCATCCAGACCTGGGCTCTGGTGGCAGCAGAGCTACAAACAACTGCCACAGCTCCAGCTGACTCCCCAGAGCCTCCCGTCTGTCTGCCTGCAAGTCTCCAGGCTTTCGAGGAGGTGGAGGTGGAGGTGGAGGTGGAGG